TCCCCATCTCCACCACCACCTTGTCATGCACAATAAGAAATGAATGTGAAATTCCAACAATGGTACATGAACAAAAGGCTGTGTATCCTAAATGCATCCTTTTGCCCACGTACCAGCCACCTAGAGTCACCCGCATTGTCTACGCAGCATGGCACAGTGCCTTTTGATAAGGACAGTTTTTTAAGCCTGGTTTCTCTCAATACACTTTCAAGGCATGTAAGTTTGTTTTTCTTTTTGTTTGTTTGTATTGTTTTTGGGGTGTTTTGTTTTGTTTTGTTTTGTTTTGTTTTGTTTTGTTTGCAGAACCAGGGATTGAACTCAGGCCCTTGCATTTGCCAGACAAGCGCTTATTCTACTGAGCTATCTCCCCAGCCCCATAAATTTGTTTTGTATTTGGCTAACTTGAGACTTTCAAGAACTTCATCTGAAATTCATAATAAAAGTCTACAATCCAAGCTTCTCAAAAGAAGAGCAAGCATCTGTTAATAAAAGTCTTAATATATTTTTCTAAAAATGTTATACAAGGGCCAGCCAAAAAGCTCAGCAGATTAAAGCACCTGCAAGTAAGCAGGATTCAATCCCCAGGCCTGCCATGCTGGCCCTGCCCCTAGAGCATGCTGAAAGGACAGTTGAGACTGGGCATGGTGGTGTGTGCCTGTAATCCCAGTTCTTGGGAGGCTGTAAACAGGAGAAAAACTCTGAGTCCAATCTAGTAGTGAGACCTTGAACACCCTGTAGACCCTTCCCTAAAATACAACAAAATAAATTAAAATAAAAATGTTATACATAGATGTTCTGTTGGGTCTAGTGTCCCTACCGCCTAAGCTGTCAAAGGACTAACAACATTTTCTTTTGAAAACAAAATGACTGCAGCAAGTTTTAATTTAAAATGGACCTTGTGCCAAGGATAAAGGCTTAATTGCCTACCTGGCAAGGGCAAGGTCCTGAGTTCAACTCTCCAGGAACACAAATTAAATAAATAAATAAACAATGAAATGAACCCATATTGGGAGGCCAGGGTAGGAGGATTGTGAGTTGGAGCCCACATGGTACTTTAGCAATTTAGTGAAACCCTGTCTCAAAATTAAAAATGCTTAATTTAGTTTAAAAAGTACTTGGGATGCAGTTTCGTGCTCAGGCCCTGGGTTCAGTCCCTAGTACCAGAGGGAAAATCAAAAGATCTCCAACTTGGAGGAATTGTCTGTTCACCTTCAGGCCAGGGGCATTCACTACCAACATCTTGGTCACCACACTCCCGGGTCTGAAGGCTTCCGAGGCAATTTCAGGCCTGTTTATGACGAATGTTTCCTCACTTCTTCCTTTTCTTTTCACCACCAGCTTTGCAGCTCTTCCCTGTGGTTCTTCTTTGAATTCTTCAGGTTTCCTTCCCCCACACAGTTCAAAAATGCACACAATATTCCTTTCAAATGCCATGAAGTTCAAATCTTTCATTGCATCTCAAAAGGTTCTCGGGAATTAGCAGTTGTGAAATGGACTTGCAAATTTCAATCAAGTAACTTAAATTTAGAAAGCCATTTGCCCAGAGGAAACATAAAAAAACTGATTTTTGAGTGCTATCTTGACTCTACAGCAGTTATTACATGGGAAATCAATATGAATGAGAGGACTCACGGTGCATCTCATTACAGTAATACTCCACTTAATGATTTGCTTGAACCAGAAGTCAAGTGTGATGGAGAAAGTTCCCCCTGACATCTAGAAAACCTGCAAATCTGCATCCAATCTACCTCCCAAGGAAACCAACCTGCCAAAGTCAAATTGAAAACTTATATATGTTAATTACATGCTCTTTATAAGTATAAGCCAGGGAATAAAGACCTGGAGAAAGTATATTAGGACTTGCTTACAAGACATGAATTTTGCCCAAAACTGGTCTAAGTCCACTAGTCATTTTCTCTAAAGTAACATAGAGAGCACAAGATGACTCTCCAACAAAAGGGATGTTTGTATTGTTTTCACCTACAATGGGGCAACCCCTGTCTCTCTCAAGAGAGGTCTATGCTTGCGACTCACATAACACATTTATTTATAGTTGAAGATCTTTCTTACAACAAACTGTAAGTTCAACCTTTGAACTTAGAGGACAGATCAACAGGCAACGTAGAGATTTCTTCTTGTGTAAAGGAAAAAAAAAATACTATGATAAATACACATAATTGTGTTAACAATTCTCCACACACAGAGCACTGCCAGTGAGGCCCTTTGCACTGTGATGCAACCTTCACCACCATCCACCTCCAGAGCTTTTTCATCATCACAAAGTAAAACTCAAATACAAAAGTAAGTCCCCATTCTCCACACTCCTGCTAGTTACTTTCTGTCTTCTATTATGATGAATGTGCTTTAAAGCCCTCCCATAAAGGGAATCTTGATGTTAAATAAAAATTATAGGAAGCTATTTTTTCCACTAAGCTCCTGAACAAACTGGGCTAACTCAGAATGGAGTCACACACACACACACACACACACACACACACACACACACACCAACATTCCATGCCATCCAGCTGAAGCCAAGTTGTTTGTGTTACCTTCTAAGAAATCAAGAGTAGAAAGCTAGCAGCCAGCTTTCCCAGGCAGATGTTCTAGCTGGTGAGATAAGGAGGTACCCTCTGCTTACACCTTACACACACACACGTAAAGATATCCTTGAAGTAAACTCATAGTAACTCATTAGTTATTTGTCTACTATTCTGTCTCCTTGTCCCACCTTACAGGGAAAGTAACTTTGAAATAACCAAACCATTTTTCTTTGGTCTTTGGTTTCTGCCTTCTTCTGTTTTTCTCTATCTATGCAACCAACCTCTTCTGCAGCCCACCTTAGCATTTATTTTAGTTAGATGTGGTGAAACAAGTCTGTTTATCCAGCACTATGGGAGACTGAAGCAGGAGCATTGTAAGTTTGAGCCCAGCCTGGGCAATTTAGCAACACAGTGAGATTCTTTCTCATAACAAAAAATAAAAAGAGCTGGGGGTGTTGCTCAATGTGAAGGTCCTGGGTGCAATACAAGGTAGCACAAGAAAGAAAAATGTATTCTTTTTCATGGAATGAAGTGAAGCCTGTTTTAGAATCATAAATAAAGTCAATTAAAGTCTTTAAATTGTTGTGGCTTTTTGTCTTGGACAAGATAATGTATGTCCTTTTGTGTCTGGCTTATTTCATTTAGCATATTATCTTCAAACTTCATCCAGGCTTTAAGCTTTCATTCATGTATGAGGATTTCCTTCTTTGTTAAGGCTGAACAATATGCCCCTGGAGATATAGATAGATAGGTAGATAGATAGATAGATAGATAGATAGATAGATAGATAGATAGATAGATCACATTTTGTGTATTCATTCACCAATGGACATTTGTGGTGTTCTCATGTTTTCACTGCCATAACTAATGCTGCTATTTACATGGTGTACAGATATTGTCCAAGTTTCTGGTGCAATTATTTTAAGTATATAGCCAGAAGTATCTCATAGCTTACCTAGAAGTTTTCTATTTCCTATTTCAAGGATTAATTAGCCAGATGTGGTGGTACAAGCTCTCTAGGAAGCTGAGCCAGAAGGATCACAAGTAGGAAGCCAGTTGGGCAATTTAGGGACTTAGCAAGCTCTTGTCTCAAACTTCCAAACACAAACTAAAATGGGTCTGGGGATGTGGCTAGGTTGGAGGCCCTAACTTTAGTCCCCAGTACCACAAAAAGATAATGATAATATTTTGATGACTTCCAGGCTATTTAGAACAGCTGCTACACTATTTTACATTCCTACCAGCAATAGCCAAATATTCCAATTTCTCAAAGTTCTTGTCAACACTCGCTGTTTTCTGATTTGAGTTTTATTTTTTGCTTATAATAACCATCCTGTGGCTATGAAGGAAGCATTTTTAAAAACTCATCGCACATCACACTGTGTTCAGCTCTCTCAAAACATAGGGAGTGGTGGGTATTCTCTAACAAAGGCTGGACAGGTCGACATATGCAACACACTGCAAGCTGCGCAGTGTGTAATTGTTCCTGGTCAGAGTAAATAGGGGCTGAAACCCATCAGGTTTTACACACCAAGTTGTATACTTTCTCTTCAGAGAGAAGGCAGTAACCTCGTCCTCCTGGAAAATACTGTCAGCTAGTCAAGCCACTTGCCCAGAGGCTCCTCTCTTCTAACACCAACTAAGGCACTAAGGTCATTCTAGTTGATTAACTCTCCTTCATTGAGAAGCCATAGGTAGAATATAGAAGAAATACCTAGTTCCAACAGGGTTGGGGGCCCATGAAGCCCCCTTTTAATGGTGGCATTCTGGGGACCTTTTTAACGCTTTTACAAAATCTCCCTAAGTCTGACTCGCCTCTCTTTCACAGGTGGGCTCTCTAAACTCGCATTGAATCTGGGATCTGTGACTGCTCAACTCCTAGAAGGTTCCTGCACCCACTTCTGGATCCAGATCCTAAGAAACTGGCAACCTCCACTTCCTGTCTCTTGGGACACTCATTCTGGGAACTTAGCCAGCCACACTGTGCCAAGCCCAAAACTTCTTTCGTGGAGACACACAGGGAGAAGAACCAAGCATGCGAACAGTCTCAGAAGTGCGCACTTTATTCCTAACTGCACAGCACAGCACAGAAACGCTCTGTCCCAGACAAGCCCTGCCCCTGCTGCAGACCTATGAGCAAAGTGACTGGCTGTTATTTTAAGCCACTGTACTTCAGGGTGGATGACTTGCTAGCTGAAGCAGATAACCAGAGCAGTTTGTGGTGTGATGTGACTGGGTTCCAATGCTTCGTTCCTGCAATAGGCCACAGCAAGCCAGGCTCTTCCTGAAGAGCCGCCATTTTTCTCATACGCGTTACAGACAGCGGCCTTTTGCTCCCATCTCCTCTCTCACCCTCCAACCAGGCTTTAGGTGACAGTCCCAGGATTTAAGTGACAAAGCCTCTGAGTCCCACCTCGTGCAAGGTCTGTATCTTCACTGTCTGATTCCCCCCAGGCATCACAAATTCTCTGATCCAGACCTTAGAGCCCTCTACACACTTTCCCCAGGCCACATCCTTGGCCCCAGGCTAGACGCGTGTAATCTTAGGGCCCTGGCTGGAGACACAAGATGCAAACAGCTCTTCCTTGATTCCTAAACCTACTGTCCACTTGGGCTCCCTAACTTTCTCTAAACTGGAGGGCACGCCCAAGCCAACCAGAGAAAGGCGAGGAGAAGCCACCCTTAGGCGCTGGCTGTCTCCCTTGGGCTCTGGTTGTCTCTCCTCCCTCCACTGCAGCTCAGACCTGCCGGCACTAACTGACCCCCGGGACGAGCTTCTCCAGTCTTGTCTGTTAACCCTCCCCCTCAGTGCAGGAAGGAAATAGTTAAAAGCCTCCTGCCCTTGGGGGCCTGGAAGGGGGCGGCATTTTTGTGCTCCTCCTGCCTTGCTCCCTGGAGGACTGTAGGTTAGGACGCTCCTGCAGTACTAGGAAGTAGAAGGGTCTGGGAGCTGAGGAGGAGGACGCGGCGCGGCGAAGGCAGGCGCGCTCCTCCCGACTTTTCTTTCTCTTGTGAGCCCTCGCGCGCCCAGGCAGCCCTCTGGTCCGGTGGCTGTGCAGAGGCGGTGGGGGAGGCTCCTCCATCCCATCCGCCGGTCGCCAGAGCCTGGAGGCTCTGCGAATCCTCCCAGCAGAAAGCTGCGCTCCTCCGGGAAGTTTTCCAGAGCCGGATCGGCCGTGCAGCCAGCGCTGCCGCCCCGCCGCCGCCCGGGACACCGGTCACCTCCGCACCGGCTCCCGAGGACCGGGCAGCCGCCTGCGCCCCGCCGAGCTTCACGGTCTGTGCAAGTCTGGGCTTCTGGGACGGGGCTGAGGGTGCGGGAGAGGACCCCTGACCTTTCTTGGCCAGCAGTAGTGGGACTGGCACCCACCTGCCCCAGGGTGCCCCTGGGGAGGGCTCGTTCCTGGGTGGGGCGCGCTGGGTAAATGATCGCGGCTTGGAGAAGTGATGGAAAGCGCTTCGCCTTCCGAGGCAGGATTCGGGATTTTAGTAAAAAGAAGCTCAGTGTTTCTTCCTAGTTGTCCTCTCTCCTCCACACACATGTAAGAACTTTGTGGAACGTCTTGCCCCAAAGCCTACTTGTGGAGTTGCCTTCCTTGGCTCCTCACCTCGCCCCTGGGTATGCCAAGGGTAGCCAGAGGCACTTGGCGCGGAGAACTGATGGCTTGCGGGCGTGGGGAGGTGGGCCCGAGTGCAGCGGGTTTGGAAATCTGCCTGGTGGAGGTCTGAGCGGTTTGTTCCCTGCTGTCCTTTAAAGGGCACTTGTTGCTTTTCACGTGCGGAAAGCAAGCTCTGTTTTCAGATAATCAGCCTCTGTTTACACCATCTAATGGCTTTCCCCTGACAGAGTCGGGTGGAGGCATATTACAGTCAAGCAACGTGGCTAATTTCTTACCCAGAGAACAAAACCACAGCAAACTTGTAAAAGGTTCCTAGGTGTTCTCTCTCTCTCTCTCTCTCTCTCTCTCTCTCTCTCTCTCTCTCTCTCTCTCTCCCTTAGTCGCTTCTGGTTCCACCCACCATCACCCCTCCTGTTTTAAGTGCTACCTGATTGAGCAACACCTTGGCAGTGGCTTCATGTAAATTACCTGCTCTAAACTCATGCCGTGATGGTAAGGTTGGAATTTCCAAATTACTAATCACAGGTGAGCATGGATCCTGAGTCCCATTTGTTAAACGGTCAGTGGGTGAGCGTGGGGATTCAGTCGGCTCACTTAATAATAGCTTTTTTGCTCCCGCAAACTCTTGAAGCCCAGAAAGGAAGAGTGGTGAGATCTACAGACCATGGCCTTCAGGTCTCAACCTGAGAAGCTTCACCTAGAGCTGTGGCTGATTATGACTATGATTCAAAGCAAGTGTGACTCAGATGCATGAAAGTGAGTGTAGACCCGTCCTCGGAAGAATACGCATTGGAACAAGTTTTTTCTGGGGCAGCCAAAGTAGCTCCATTGCAAATGTTAAACTGAAAAGGACAAGATGGTGTCCGCATGCCTTTGACAAGTGTCCCTTAGCTTTGTAGCTTCACTTGTGGAAAGCTGACAAAGATTTCATTAGAAACTGTCGCTGCAGTAGTGCCAGAAGATGGTCTTGATGGTAGCTAGGTTGGGCCACGATAAGAAGCCACAGTCTTGGCCTTCTTAGCTCCCACTCGATCAGCTGACCAAGCAAATCGGCATGTCTATGTTCAAAGCAGCAGTGGCATTTTGATGAGTGGCACAGCGCTGGTGACAGCCAGCTCAGTTCACGCAATAACCCTCTAGCTGACTCTAATGGGTAGAGAGCCACTCCATTTCTGGCAAAGGCCTGTGTCTCTCAATCCTAAGAAAAGTATCACTGAATATTTCTTTCCATTTAAGAAACAGGGAGGCTATAGTTAGTAAACAGCATAAGATATCAACGCATGTCTGTTACCCCTCCTTGTGATCAAAGAAGATGATGACATTAAGCTTTGTTCTTGAAGCTCTGGTCTCCCTTTGGAGGGAAAGGGCAGATCTATTGATATTTGTTCAAATCACCCGATATTAAAAGACAAGGGGAAAAGAAACCCTGCAGAGTACTAATTTAAGATGTGATATAGCTGACAAATATAGGGCATGTTCCTAACTTTGAAAGATTGATATTTTTAACCTAGTCAGAGCAAGTGATGTTGTATAACCAACCACATTGTGAGATATTATAACTGTCCTGTCTTTTCTTAGTTATAAAATCTTGACATAGTCTTTTAACTTCATCAAGACTCAGTTTCCCTTGGGTAAAATGTTAGTATATTGCTCCTGCCTACCTTTAGTTGTAAAGCTCAAGTCCAGTAACAGATAGAAGGATGATATGTTTGTCTGCATAAAATGCAATATTGTTTCACATTCTTGGGGAAAATCTCAGCGGAAGGCCAAAGTATGCAATACTGCAGTTTATATTTGCTTGTTACCTCTTGTATGACTTGACTGTATCTTATCTTATCTTGAGTTTGAGTAAACCTAATATTAATGATGTCCCATGATAACTGTCAAAACTCTTGAAAGTGGACAATAGCTTCATGGAACAGATTCAGAAAAAGGACATGATTTCTTACAGTTAAATTAGGACCTGGGTATTTGTGTCATAGACACATGCACACCATGCTCACATCAGTGTATGGTTTTTATATAAACATCACTAATAAGACTATGAAAAAAGAAATGCACAAAATATTGAAATGTCAGGGACTATATTTATTTACCCTTTCTTATTTTGTCACCATCAACTTACCTGGGGTTTTTTCTTGTTTCTTTTCTTGAAAATCAAAAAAAAACCTCTTGGCTTCACTTGTTCTTTGCAAATGACTGAAAAAATGAAAAGAAAACACTAGGTGGTCTTTTGAAAATGTCTAACCACTTCCCCTCGTCTGCTGCTTCATCAGAACTCTGGGGATTTCTTTCATATGTTGTAAGTTTAAATAGACCATGAGAATGAGGGATAGAGTAGTCTAGTGGTTGAGAGCTCTGGCTAGGAAGCCAACTAGCCCGCCTTAAAATTGTAGCATCACCACCACTTCCTGTGACCTTGACAAGCTATTTCACCTTTCTGAGCCTTTCTTTCATACTCTTCTTAACAGAACTGTACCTCTACTTCACAGGATCATTGCATGAACTCCAGTTATGCACATGCATAAGAACATTATGCACATGAAGTGTTCAGCATGGTGACTGCCATGTAGAAAACATACCCAGATAGGCTGTTTAAAAGACAGCAGAGTAAAAACAAATAAAGAAATAAAAGACAGCAGGGTGACCAAGGGCCCTTGAAAACCAAACAGTATGATTAGTCTGGGAAGGTCTATTATTCCCATTGCACTGATTGACAAATATTGTAATAATAATTTCTGTTGCATGGAACAACAAAATTTGTTAGAAGACATAAATGTTACACATTACTCATCAAAATTTTCAAGATAAAATACTCTGTCTTTAAAAATTATATCATGGTTGATTGAAATGAAGTTTGTTAAATGTATTAAGAGAATTAACCAGAGTTCTGATTCTAAATTAGCATCTAGTAAGACTTTAGATCACTATCTGCTGCACTCTAGATGTCTGTTCATTATTCTGTGTAAAGCACTCATTTTGGAATATAGAATTATTATTTATACCATTTGGTAACTTTATGTCTAAATAACATGCAACTTCTATTTGACATATAATGCTTTATCTCATAAAATTTTGAGTTAGATGTGGTGGTGTGGTCACTTATCCCAGCACTCTGGAGACTGAGGCAAAAGGACAATAATTTTAGCCTACCCTGGGCAAATTTGCAACTTAGGGAAATCCTGTCTCTAAATTTTAAAAAAACAAAGATTGGAGGCACAGCTCAGTGTGAAGGAAAGTCCTGGATTCAGGCCTTAATACAATAATACTAATAGTATTAACAACACATAAAAATTTCAGTATCTGAACTCTGGAAGATTTTTGTTAGTCAGACTCTTCAGCCTGACAGAGAGGAAAACAAGTAACTACTGCTTTAAGGTGAAGCTGATATCTCCTTGTCCTTAAATCTTTGAGTTTTTTCTCGTTGTTTCTGACCTGGGGTAACCAAACATAGATATTTCTTACCTGTTGATCAAATATAGCCTACATTTTCATTAAGCCAGTAAATAATCATTGATTGTTTTGCCAGCTGGCTTTTGTAACAAAAATAATTTCTTCCCTTTGTTTTTCCAGGTATAAAAGCAGCAACGTAAGACATTTCCTCAAATGTGCATCAAGATGGAAACCTTTTGCCTCAGGGCATCCTTTTGGCTGGCACTGGTGGGATGTGTAATCAGCGATAACCCTGAGAGATACAGCACGAATCTAAGCAATCACGTGGACGACTTCACCACTTTCCATGGGACAGAGCTCAGCTTCCTGGTTACCACGCATCGGCCCACTAACCTGGCCCTGCCCAGCAATGGCTCCATGCACAATTACTGCCCACAGCAGACTAAAATCACTTCAGCTTTCAAATACATTAACACTGTGATATCTTGTACTATTTTCATCGTGGGAATGGTGGGGAATGCAACTCTGCTCAGGATCATTTACCAGAACAAGTGTATGAGGAATGGCCCCAACGCTCTGATAGCCAGCCTCGCCCTTGGAGACCTTATCTATGTGGTCATTGATCTCCCTATCAATGTATTTAAGGTAGGAATCTTTGAAGTTACAAATGTATTTTCAGGTTGGAACACATTCCCTGATTCCTTGGTAAGAGATTCACTGCAGACTTCTTTAACCTTTGGAATTTTGCTCTGTGCTTTTACTGAGGGTTCTTTCTGCTCTCTTAAAACTTAGTGTTATGTTAAGATTTTATTACTTGTTGTGTGTTCCATTTATTTTCTAACTTAGTTGTTAACAGAATCTGAGGGCTCGGTCTTCAAAATCATGATGTTGCATAAACTGGATTCTTGTGCCAACACTGAGCTTGTGGCGAAGATAGGCAGTCGGGAGAAGAGCTCTAGAATTTTCTCAGATCCAATTTACTGAGTGACTACTGAGTCCCTAAGGCACTTAAATATACCTTCAATTTCTCTTCTATATATAATGGGATGCTTTTCAAAATTCAGATGGCACCATCTGGTTTAAAATGAAAAGTGCCTATTTTATTCAGACTGACTGGATTAATGACAGAAGCTGAAGGACAGATGGGCATTTCCCAGTTACCTGGGTAACTCAGAGAGACTGGGGACCACATGACAGTAGGCCAGGATTCTTTTGTCAAGGAGTATACTCAAATTGTTCCAAAAAGGCCTTGGTTTACTGTTGTCTACTTTTTTTTTTTTCAGTTTGGATATATTGAGTACCAAACTAGTCAATAGAGATCAAAGACAAGTAAGAAACATGTTAGTGCCTCAGTCAGAGAAGAAAATAATCATCAGACCATTACTGGGATTGCCCTATGGTAGTGGGAATTTAGTACCAAACAAACTAAAGCCAGAAGAAATTAGATATTCCATATTTGGCGCAGTTATTGGGAGGTGGTAGAGAATTTCTGCAAGACTTCAGAATTAAACAAAAGAATTCAAAATTACTAAAATTCAAAGGCAACAGCATGATGAATGCCCCATTATAAAGTGTCTTTAGTCTAAACCCAGAGAAATCACCTTCTTTCACCTTTTATCTTTTCTCTCCATCATCTTCTGCGAATCATCCATAGAAATAAACTCTTCTAGGTGGCAATGCTCTGAAATACTACTTTAATTAACAAGTCATATCAACTGAATTATAAGTAGAAGAGTAATCTGTCTGTTTCTAAAACACACACATGCTATAATGTTAGCTTTCTGGAAAAGGCTGTGGCCTGACATTGCAGATGAAAATGACAAAATTTTTGAGCATTATGAATAAAAAACTTTTTAAAATTATACCTTATACTGAAAACTTAGAGAGATTAGACAACACAAAACAACAACCTTGCATACCTTCGCTGCACCCAATAGAGTGAGCACATATGTTTCCCATTTGAATAGGATTTTGGAACCAAACTGCAATGCCAAACTGCAATAAATTAAATAATGAATTGAAAGTGTTAGCATATGCTGCAGAACTTATTTTTCCTTTAAAAAGTTATTAATTTTCTGCTTATGAGATACCATGTGCATTCAGTGTGTGTTTCTCGTGATATCTCTCTGGAATGGTAGATGGGAAAATGTCCAATGACTCTCAGGCAAAATTTTGTTCTTCGGTGGCAGTGTACAGTATTCAGCATTGAGTATTCATATTTATGTACTAATTATATAATCTATCTCTGTTCAAGAGAATAGCGAACCATCTCTGAATTGACTGCTCAGTCTGAAGCATGCTACTTAGGTTGAACTGTGTGTAAGCAGTTTCTTAGCATCTCGGTGACATTGGCAACTACTCAGAGGGAGACCTGCTACTGATCACCAGGCTAAATGAAGCTTCATTTCTATTGTATAATAGCATGTTAAGTCAGATCATCTGGAATAGTTCCTGATTTTGTGAAAATCAAAATTCACATAAAACTATTTTATGTTATATAACAGTGGATAAAAATTTGCAAATCTTTGTTGGGCCATACTATTCTTCCCTTCTTAAAAACCCAGTGTTTTATAAACCTTACTGTAGTTCTAAATAATGTAGACAGTCTAACTATGGGGTATTTACATCACAGGAGTATTTGTGTATAATTCGTGTTTTCTAAAATGTAACATGACTCATTCAGCTGACATTAATTCTAGAAAGTAAATCACTTAAGCTTTAAAATAAATGCCTTTTAATCATCTCAGCCATTTCCCAAAGGAACATAGAAAAGCATTGCAGTGAACTAAAAAAGGGTCACAGTGCTCAAGGCTCGTCTCTATGTCTTTCATCCTCTTCTCTGGGTCAGGAGACCACAACGTGTCTCTATTCCTCTGAGTTGTGTCGAGGATGGTCAAGAGAAATCTTTGCTCAGTGTGAAGTCTGGCCCTCACTTCTCTTCTCCCGCGACTAACTTCTGCCATAAAATTCTGATACTTTGTAATCCCTCACACTTTAGGCCTGTGAGTGACTCTGAGATACCAAATTTACCTCCGCCGTGTTACAGAGCAAGGTGCCAGCTACCCATTGTACTTAGGTGTTTATGAATATTCTTACTAAAGACTCAGAGAACACTGTGCTAAAAAGATGGATGCCTGAGCCTGCTTTCTTCCCTTTTCTATTGGAACACGTTTGCAACACATAACAAATATGGCACATCCATCGTGGGCCTTGGTACACACACACATCATGTCTTGATGCTTTTTACTTCCTCTTCCACTTTTCCTGGCCCCAAGTCCCCTTCCCACACCCACAGTCTATCTCCATGTTTCTTATAATGCATCCTTTATTTTGCATGAGACTTCTTCATTCTCCTCCTTCATTCTATTTTGAAAAGTGTAGAGTTGCACCAGGCACAGTGGAGCACAGCTGGAATCCCCACTACTTTGAGGCTGAGGCAGGAAATTTTAAAGCTAGCCTGGGAAATTCAGCAAGACCACGGCTCAAAATAAAAAATTTTGAAAAGTGAGGATGTATCTTAGTGCTCACTGATTTCAGACCCCACTACTACCAAAAACAAAACAAGAAAATACACTGAAAGAAGAAGAGGAACTTTCAAAGAAAGATGAGCTTTCAAATCGTAAAGTTGTGTTAACAATGATATTAGTTTCATGTCTGATCCTAAGATGTCCCCAGACAGAGAACACTGCACTGAGCATTATCAGCATCAGCACAAGTGGGAGGAGAAAGTGTGGAGGTTGTATCTTGGGGCAAGCTAGAGATACTGTATCAACTGTAATAATGTCACAAGGAAAGCCAGAGCCTGATAAAGTGCTCTTTCTATTAAGTTCCCTTCCCCTACTTATAAAGGGTGATGCTGTAACTATCTCCTAGAGCAATAGCATAGGAAACACACTGGCCTCAATGCAGCAGGGATCAGATAGCTGGGTGGGCTCTGGTCTGTCATAGCCAGCACAGCTAGGACTGCTGGACCCAGATAGTCCATGAGCACTAAAAGGGGTCACTCCACATGCAAATGTCCAGAAGTTTCTTGGCTGGTCTCCATGTCTTTTGAGTGTCCCCTCCAAACCTCTGATGAATGTTGCCCCACTGATGAAGTTCCACTGCTCCCTCAAAAACACCCAGGACTCCTACCTGCCTCCACTGCCTCCCAGACTCTGGCTGTTCTTGACCTGCTTCTTTCTAGTTCCCAATATGCGTGCTTAATTCTTGTCAGATTTCCATCATTCCTCCTTCAGAACATTCTCTGTCCTCAACAACATTGTTAGGAAGAAAATAGTCACCATGTGGATGCTGGTGAGACATTCACAGAACATAAATATAAAAATGAGGCAGGTCCACAGTTAGATATGTGGCACCAAGAACAGAAGCCACTGGGTGTGGTGGTGGGAGCCTGCAATCCCAGCTACTCAGGATGCTGAAGCAGGAGGATCACAAGTTTAAGGCCAGTGTAGGCAACTTAGAGAGACTATCTCAAGATAAAAAGGGCTCGGAATGTAGCTCAGGGATAAACAGCTTGCCTGAAATGTACAAGGTCCTAGTTTCAATCCCCAGTACCAAAAAATACAAAGAAGAGAAAAATACAGTGGCTTACACACACTCACACCTACAGCCTAGGGACAGAAGAAAACTAGACAATCTAAGAAAATAAGATGTAAAGTAGAAAGAACCAAAGAGTAGCCAAATGATTCATTTCATTTTTGGTTTTCAAACATATAAAGCCTTGCAAAGGATAAAATGGAAGAAAAGCCATTCCTAAGCTGATCAAAGGATAGCTCTAATTTTTACTCATTAGAAACACAGATAATATCATCAAGTGCAAGAGAAAGGAACAAACAACTAGTAGACTCATTCATATAGACAAGATGAGGTCTAAGTAAGTGATGGATTCAATGTGGTTGGAAATTGCATTATGTAGTATCCTAAATTCTCAGGAAATGCAAAGGCTTGGTCAGGTAATTTAATTTGTACGTAAGGTATTTACATTTGTTAGAATGGAAAGGCAAGGAAAATATTGTCCTTGTATTTTGAGACCAAAAAAGAATTTCCAATAAAGAAATGGCAATATTGATTAGAAATACAGAATTTAGTAATTTATTGTTCAGTGTCATTGGTTGTTGATGACTTCTATGTTGCAATAGAATAGATACCCTAAAAGTGAGGTTTGTGTGCTAGCTAAGATTTAAATCGCATAACTTTGCGATAAGATTAATATATTTTTATGGGAATATATTTATTTATTATTATTTATATACATATATATTCCCATAAACCACTGAGCCTTAGCTCTTAGTGAAAACAAGACTGAGAGAAAATACATGGATGCAGGAAATAAGGTCAAAAAGGATGCAAACGCTGGACATGGGGGAAACAAGAAATTGAAAACCAGTAGTATAGCCTAGGAAGTTCAGATGTGTGTAGCAAGTGCTTGAAACCAGAGATGCTGTAGATAATCCCATAGGTGAGTAATGTCCACCCTGAATATATAGTGCAAAGTGTATCAGGGACAATGACAATTATGTGCACAGTAAGTCTGTTGATTTCTAATTCTGTCCCACTCCAGGCAACCACCTCTTATTGAGAATAACAATGAAAATAAACAGCCACAAATTCCATAGGAAATGACCAAGGATTTTTTGCCATAA